TGATGGACTGGAGACCTGTCCAGGTGTCCCTGTGATGGACTGGAGACATGTCCAAGTGTCCCCCGCCTCTCACACAGTAATAGCTGAACATGAGCACCAGTGACCCCTGCGACCCGAAAAGGAAGAAGCAGGTAAAGATGATGGATGGATGGATGGATGGATGGATGGATGGATGGATGGATGGATGGATGGATGGATGGATTGATGGATGGATGGATGGATGGATGGATGAATGGATGGATGGATGGATGGTTGTTCTTGGTCAAGTCCTGTTCAGACTTGGTTTGACCTTTGGCTGTAAAGTGACTCCACGAGTCAGAGGTTGATCCTGGTGTGTGCAGGGGGAAAGCACTTGAACATCTCTAAGTTGAGACCTTCTGTGTCTCCGACTGAACTAGAGATGGTTGTTCACGTTTTATTTCCTCCTGGTTAGACTGTTGTAATGGTTGTTTTATTAGTTTGAATAAAACCAATCATGTAACTCCATGTAGGACTCTGAGGTGTTTGAGTCAGATGTTATCTGAACCCTGAACCCGTTTTAAAACCCGTGGAGACTTCAGTGTTCAGGCGCTGCCTCCGAGGCTCCATCTGTCCCTTCACACTCTTTTAAGGAACAACTAAAGACATTTTTATTCAGACAGGCTTTTACTTAATCTTCTTGTTTGTTTGTTTGTTTGTTTGTTTGTTTGTTTGTTTGTTTGTTTGTTCGTTTGTTTGAACTTGTCTTGCCTTTTGTGAAGCACTTTGTGATTCACATGTCTGTGAAAGGTGCTATAGAAATAAAGTTTTACTTAATTACTTACTTAGAAAGTGCTATTTGAGAACGTTGATGTGGCTCCGTGTGTGTGTGGTCTACCTGGCTTTGTTTCAGTGCTGACACCAGCTTCTGCAGAGAGATGTTCTCTTCTTCCAGCTCTGTGTAATCCTGGAGAAGCCGTGACTCCCGGAACTTGTACTCCCTGATCTCCTCTTGCATCCGGCTTCTTTGCAGCTCCGACATTTCATGACTCTGCTGAGACATTGCAAAGAGTAAGGTGAATACTGAACGCTGTTTCTGACGCCCCACTGGGAGGAAGGACACTTTCCACGGTACCTCCCTGAGTTCCTGCAGCAGCGTGCTCAGATGCTCATTGTGGGTCTGTGTGGTGCAGGCAATGGTCCGGCTGTGCTTCAGCTCTGACTGGAGCTCCACAAGGCGTCCAATGAAGTATGCCTCCTTGGTGGCAGACTCTTGCAACAGGGCCTCCTCGTTGGTTTCTCCATCCTGAGCAACCTTACGCTGAGTAGAGTAAGCCTGACCAAACGCCTAGACGGAGCGAGAGGAGCACACATACGTTCAGACAGGCACTGACACTTTCAATATGAGCTACACATGGCCCCCCAGCCTCTGTTTCCAACAGATCCCCTCACAGCATATCCAATCTTTTCCAAGTGAATATGACACATGACTTCTCTTATCCAGTGTTCATATGTCGGGGGATGTGGGTCCTTCCATCTGCACAAAACCAGTCTCCTGGCCTGAAGAGCCAAAAGCACTCTCATCCTTCTCGTACTTGCTGAAGGACGTATCCGCAGGGGCCACCATGAACCATGAGATGATGGTGGCGGTGCATGGTTTTTCCACATTTCACAAAGAATGTATCAAAAATAGAGTGACAAACAGTCTGCAGTTTGGGACAGGTCCAGAATGTGTGCAGGAGTGTAGCTGGAGTTGGTTTAAAATGATTGCATGCGGGGTCCAGGTCGGCCTTGATCTTGGACAGCTTGTCTTTGGACCAGTGCAGCACCTTGAACTGGATCACAGCATGTCCCAGACTGAAGATGAGCAAATGTTCTTGATGATCTTTCTCCAGATTGAGTCTGACATGGGTTCCTCCAAGTCTGCTTCCCATTTCTGTTAAAAGGAAGTCCAAACTGGTCTCCTGGTATGAATTGAGCAGTGTATAGATCTTGCTGAGGGTCTCCTTGGTATCAGACCTGAATTCCAAAATCTTAACCACAAAATGTTTAGAGGGGTACAAAGGAAAACAGTCACAAAATGTCTCAGCTGTAAATATCTAAAAAACTGTGACTTGTGAACATTGAACTTCTGTACGAGCTGCTCAAAAGAAGCAAATCTACCATCCACACAGAGATCACACAGTGAATGCACTCCCCTCAAGATCCAGCTGTCAACAGCTGGATCAGCTGCTCAGGGAGTGAGTTCAGTTCAGTTTATTTATAAAGCATCAAATCACAACAAGTTGTCTCAGGACACTTTACAGGAACATTCACAAACATTAAAAACAATTAGAAAAGTTTGTATGTAAGTGAACACATGATTATCTGACACACGTGCCACAAACGGTAACTCTGGAGTTAAATGTCCTGAACTGGTTCCAGATGTTGTGTCAGCAAAGTTAAATATTGTAATTTGATTCTTTTACATCTTCGTCTAGATAAAATGTCTTCTAAATATTTGTCTACCTTAGGTCACTCCAGCACCACTTTGATGCTAACACCCCCCCAGTGTGTCAGAATGGTTTTGATGCAGCCAGAACCAGAACTAGACCTGGTTTTCCCGCTGTGGCCCCTGAGGGCCCAACATCAGGACCATTCAGCTCTGACCTTCAGCCTCGTCCTCTGAGCTCAGAGGTTCTGACATTCTTCTAATCTGTGGATCAGATTAGGAACTGGAAATGATGGAGATTAAAGTCTTCAAAATATTTTGTTGAACATCACTTGAGTTTTAGATGATCCTGACCCCCCACCCCCGCTCCTCCAGCTGTTTCTTCTTTGGACCAGGAGCTTTTACATCCTGTTGATGGCCCGGCCAGATATTTTGGGATGTTGTCATAAGAAACGCTGTAGAAGCCTCGTGGTGCAACGCTCAAACCTTGTGAAGCAGATCCTGGACACCTGACAACAGGAGAGGGTGAGGCTCTGACTCGTGGCCTCCATCCACCTGGAAGCTTCCAGACGAACAAGAGATGCTCCTTGTTCAGCTGTCTCCAGCTCCTGCAGCTGTGAACCAGCTCCAGAGTTGCTTCTTCTCCTTTGTTGTCTGAGGACATTTTGTTTTTCAGAATGAAGACGTGCTGCAAAGGTCATGGTGCAGAACAGCAACACATCTGGATCCTGTTTAAATCAAAGTGTGACAGCTGCTGTCCAGCAGAAGCTCCACAAATGAAGAGCTCCATGTTGTGGAGCTCGTGGTGTGTGTGTGTGTTGAGAAGAAGCTGAGCCCACCTCCTGTAGCTGCTCCAGCTCCAGCCTCAGAGCCTCCTGCTCGGCCTCCAGCTCTGCGCACTGCTGCTTCAGGTTCTGGTTCTCCTCCAGGACCATGAGTCCGCACTCCGCCGCCCGGACCTTCTCCCTGTTGGCCTCGGACAGTTCCCTGCTGAGGCGCTCCACCTCGCCCCGGTACTGTTCCTCCGCATCTCCGCATCCTGCTCCTCCAGCGGCCATCTCTCCTCCTCCTCCTCCTCCTCCTCGCTGCTGAGGAGGACAGCTAACCTCCTCCCCGCGCCACAGTCACACCCCAGAAATCATCTCCTGAGCTCGTGAGCTGCCGCGGACTGATTGATGTTTGTCATCGTGTCGCGGCAGAAAGCGATTAGCCGCGGCGGGAGCGCGCAGGAAGTGATGGCCGCTGCGGGAGCGCGCACAGCCTGCTGGTCACGGGCAGCGTCGCTGTTTTATTTCTTAAAGACGTTGTGTGCTCAAAATGTCTCCGTTGACATTTTTATTTATTGATTGATGTATTTGTTTCAACATGTTGTGTCTGCTCATGTTCACTTTTCAACCGATGACATCAACTTCCTTATCTCTGGAAATATACTGGGACCACTGGCGTCACAAGCATTTGTGATGGGGTGGCACACACACGCTGGGGGGTCTGGGTGTCCACTGCCAGAAAATGTTGAGTATGTCAAAAAAGTTCAGTTTATTTCTGAAGCTCCAACAGAACTTCTGTTAAAGTTCTGTATCTGAGGAGGCAGCAGGTCGTGTTGAATCTTCTCTTCATCACAGTCCCTCATCCTGAGCACAAAGGAGACAGTGGGAAGAAAAAACTCCCTTTAACAGGAAGAAACTTCCAGCAGAACCAGCTCAGGACGAGCTTCAACTGGCTGGGTCTGAGAGGACAGGAAGTAGAAACAGACACAGAATGACAGGTCCAGGTGTGGTTTCTATAGTCCAGGTGAACTTTCTATAGTCCCTACGCTGCACAAACTGTACAGACTCTTTAATAAAACAACTAAAGACATTTTTGTTCAAACAGGCTTTTACTTAATGTTTTTTGTTTGTTTATTTCGTTTTAATTGTCTTGCCTTTGTGAAGCAATTTGTGATCTACATGTATGTAAAAGGTGCTATAGAAATAAAGTTTTACTTACTTACTTACTTACTTTACAGGTGCACTTTCTATAGTCCAGGTGTACTTTCTATAGCCCAGGTGTACTTTCTATAGTCTATGTATACTTTCTATAGACAACGTGTACTTTCTATAGTCCAGGTGAACTTTCTATAGTCCATGTGTGCTTTCTATAGCCCAGGTGTATTTTCTATAGTCCAGGTGTGCTTTCTATAGTCTATGTATACTTTCTATAGACAACGTGTACTTTCTATAGTCCAGGTGAACTTTCTATAGACGAGGTGTACTTTTTATAGACAAGGTGTACTTTTTATAGACAAGGTGTACTTTTTATAGACAAGGTGTACTTTCTATAGTCCAGGTGAACTTTCTATAGACAAGGTGTACTTTTTATAGTCCAAATGGACTTTCTGTAGGCAGGGTGTACTATATATAGGCCAAGTGTACTTTGTATAGGCCCGATGTACTATCTGTTGCCAAGGTGTACTTTCTATAGTCCAAGTGTACTTACTATAGGCCAAGTGTACTTTCTATAGCCCGGTGTACTTTGTATAGGCCCGGTGTACTTTCTGTAGTCCAGGTGTACTTTCTGTAGTCCAG